GGGGAATAGACCAAAAACAACCCCAACAACAGCCCAGAAGGAAACAGCCCCTCCCTCAGGACACCAAGAGACCAGTCTGGCCCAGCCACAGCTGACCCCTCTTCTTTCTGAGCTTGTAAAAGCAAACTTGTCCAAGGCAGCTTCGTTAGTCCTGCTTCCAGGACTCGATACAAACCAGCTTCACACAGTTGGACTCCAGCACCTTGGCCTCTTCTGCTTGTTTTTCTTTCTCACCGGGGATTCCGAGGGAAGAAATGAAACTGATTTTCTCTCCAGCCTGTTAAAGGCAGAGGAGTTCCCTCCTCAAAATGTACACATACACACCCAACTATATCAATATAACTATGAAAGACAGTCACACTTGGGAGGACATATATACAAATATCTATGGAGAATTATTCATTACTATTATTATAGCATCCCTCCCAACACACACAGGTACAGTCAAATACGTATACACAACCCACAGACACATACCTATAACTATATTTACATAACACACAAGCACATCCACATCTATTCATGCTATACAGCCATATGCCCCAAACTCTACATATGCTGTGACAAGCCATGACATCCCCCTCACCCCTGAATCCCAGACTCTGATGACATTTCTTTACATAGGCCCATCCCTGCATGGTCAAAGACACTGAATGTTCAGGAACCCACAACTCCAAACAAATATGCACACACAAACCCACATATACTATAACTCTACCTATCTGATCATTCCTCCAACTCCATGAAGGACTATTCAACTTAAGCATGCATGTAAACACATTTGCAGGCATACACACGGAGACATACATACATAAGCATAGACAGCAAACACTCTCCAAGTGTTAGACCCACAAGGTTAAACTGATTTAACCAGAATGGAAAATCCTGCTAAGTGTGTTGGGGAACCAGTTTGTTGAGAACAGCGCTAGGGGGTGGGAGGGAGGCAGGCAAGCATTGGGGGAGCTGGTTGGTGAGTAGCTGAGCAGGACAGAAACAGGACTTTCCTTGAGGGGCCTCCACCAAGCCTTTGTTAAGGGGCTATTGGAATGAAGAGGCCTCTTTTTTCAGCAGAGGCTGAGTAAGTTGTGGGGGCCGGGAAGGGAGTGGGGGAGATTGCTGACGGAGGGGAAAGTGTCTGGAAAGAGAAGTCTTCTGTGGTTTGGAAAATGCACAACTCTCCAGCCACGTTTGGCTCCCTAACCTAAACTGGGGCCATTCCATGCTCTCCCCCTCACCCTCCCTCCACCCTTGGCAAGCTGAATGCCTGGTGAACCGGGTGGCCAGCAGCAGAGGGACTGTTACCTCATGACTGAGTATAGGTGTGACAGTGTTCTTAGAGCCTCCAGGAAGGAGCTTGGGAGAGCCTAGCTGCTTTGAGTCACCTTTCTAACAAAGGCATATTTTCAGGAGAAAAAGCTTGAGTGAACTTTGACCATATAGTGCAATTATTTCCATAGGTCATTGGGTCCTCTGCTTCTCCAGGTTTCTTAGGCAAGCCTACAAGAGTTTTGTGGTTTATACCCTCTTGGAGTATTGGACTCCCTGCTCCTCTACTCTTCTCTGCCCCATCCCACCCCACCCCCCAGCATTGGGGTCAGTGAGTTTGGAACCAGAGGGGTCTTAGGTAGATATGGAGGCATAGGAGGTAAAAGCACAGCTTTTTCAGACTCTCAGGAAAACATCTGGGAGGAGGTAGAACCCCTGCCTTCCTCCTCCCCTTCACAAGGGGAGGCAGGGGTCAAATGAGAGATGGTAGGGAAAGTGTTTTGCAAACTTTAAAACTGTAAATGTCGTTTATACATGTCATCATGTCTGTCATCATGTCTGGGGAGGTCATCCAATCCTGATGTGGGAGTGGGTTCTTACCAAACCTAGAACCCATGTGAGATTAAGGAGCTCCTGCTCCTTCACCAAAGAACTCCTGACTGCTTTCCCAGTCCTTCAAGCTAAGATTGTTGAGAACAGCCCTAGGGGGTGGGAGGGAGGCAGGCAAGCATGGGGGGAGCTGGTTGGTGAGTAGCTGAGCAGGAGAGAAACAGGACTTTCCTCGAGGGGCCTCCACCAGGCCTTTGTTAAGGGGCCATTAGAATGAAGAGGCCTCTTTTTTCAGAAGAGGCTGAGTAAGTTGTGGGGGCCAGGAAGGGAGTGATTTGCATCTAAACCTCAGCATCTAAATTAATTCCCCAGACTTGTATGGTGGAGGGTCTAAAGAAAACTCACCCTTCTGTAACAGTTGGCCTAGCTTTTTGCCTTCTCCTATAGAAGGGAGCCATTGTGATCTGGGAACTAGGGCAGATGCTGACTTTGGAGGCCATGTATCTTCATAAAATATCACTACTCTGCCAACCTGGCCCCCTAGCCTTCCTCCCCCACTCCCCTCGTCAAAAGGGAGGAGTGGTTGTGATTTTTAAAAATTAGTATTATTATCTTTTTTTTTTTTGCTGTGAAAGCAACTCTGCAGAGGGAAACTTTAATGATGGCTTCCTGTTCAGGACCACAGGCTTTTAAAAATAGCATGGCTAAACAAAGGCACCATGTGGAGGGGACCTCGCCCATCCCTAACCTCGGAACTTTGGATCATGGGACCCAGCCCTGCCCCTCCGGGCACTGTAGTTGTCCAACATTTGCCCTCACCATCCCCTCCACCTCTTCAGCAACTGGGAGAAAGAAGGAAAAGAAGGTCCTGTTGGAAAGATGGGATGCTCCAGGCAAGAAATTGTTGAATGGAGAGGATCAGAACTATGGAACACTGAGCTTCTGAAAGATCTGAGTTGGAATTTGGCATATGTGGTCTTCTCTCACGCTTCCTTGGCCTCTCTCCCTAGCCAGGTTGGATCAGAAACTTTCCAGAAGCAAGGCTTCTCCAAAGACAGCACCTATACTGAGTGGAGGATGAAGAGCCAAAAATGTTGGTGGTTGGGGTGGAGGGAGACAGAAGCATCTGCTTCCAAAAAAATAAAAGGTTCTGTTAAGGAGTATGGGAGAGCCAAAGGGTGTCCTCAACACATACTAACCAGGGCAGATTTACTCCTGCATGGCTCTGGCTGTCCCAGCCACAATGATTGAAGTTGTCTCCAAAAACAAGGCCACAGCTCCAACCTCCAACCCCATTCCCCCAGCAGATAACCAGCCAAAGGTGAAGACAAAGGCGCTGAACAGGGAACAGGAGTGGTAATTTCCATTCTGCTCAGCAGAACTTTGGACAGCCCTTTCCATGCTGATGAGGATAAGAAGCCCAAGAGAGTGATTGTCATGCCTGGGAAATGTAAAGAAGGCTCAAGATTGTATTTTCTTCTTGGGCCTGTCCATTATCAACTTGCTCTTTAATCCTCATTTGGCACGGCCAGTTGCCTACAGATGGGCCGGCCAAAGAGGGATCTAACTTGGTTCAACTCCTCTCAAAAGGCAGCGGCCCTATGGCACCATGCCCCTTTCTCCCAACTCTGTCTGCTCCTCCCCACACTCCTTACCCTCTGATCATGAGGAATGGAAAATTGGGTGGCTGCTTCTAGGGGAGCGAGCCCTTCTTGATAGATTTTTTGTTTCCAAATTATTCTCCCAAGGACAGCAACTCAGCATCCTTGTCTTGCAACCTCAGCACCTCTCTAACCCTAGCCTTCAAAAAAGCCTACACTATGACTCCTAGGATCTCTCGAGGCTGGGGAGGAGTTGAGCCAGGCTTTCTGCAGTTGATTGGATGTGGATTGACCAGGACCAAATTTGAGGATTGTCTAACTCAGGAAGGGTCTGTAGGAGGTGATTAGCTTGTCTTCCTCCATTTCATAGTTGTCTCTGGGATACTGATTGTAAGAGAGAAAAAGGAAGTAATGTCCCTGAAATACTTTATATGATTGAGAAGAGGCTAAAAGATGAGAACCAGCTGTCTGCTTATTTATAATGCCCTTGATTTAGATTAATTTCTACATCCCACTTGAGTCCACTTAATGAGTCCCCAGGCCTCACTCCCAATACCTTTGTGATCACTATCACAGCGAGCTCGTAGCCTGGAGCTTGGAGGAGGGACACTGGAGTCCCAGGTGTATTGTTAACACAGTGATTGAAGCCTACTACGATGGATTTCAGTTTTAAAAAACCATCATTTCTCTTTACAAAGAGAAATCTCACAATGTCATTAGGCCACCCCACCCCCAATTTGTAATGTTTGTAATACTGTACCTGTAGAACTAATTGTCCTTTCCATGTTATATCTCCTAATGAGTTTTTGTGGAACCCTTTAATGAAATTAGATGGATTTTGTTTTACGTAAGCAATGCTAGTCTGTGTGGCCCAGACAATAAAAGCAATAGGGGTTCGTAGGGAAGATAAACTCACTGAAGTAACATTGAGCCTTGAAGGATGGATACAGTTTGAATAAGTGGAAGGAGGCCGAGGACATTCCAGATGGGTGAATGAGGCAAAGTTAGGGAGGCAGAAATGAATAATTTTGTGCAGGGGATGGTAAGGAGACTAGGTTTACAGGATTGGAGTTGACCTGTTAGGAAGGAGGGGAACATAAGGCTAGAACTATCCCAGGGCATTAAGAGGACCCCCACCTTAGCAAGAATCTTCCTGCTGTGTGGGGGCAGGGTGGGAAGTGGGTGGGGAGGTCTATAATAGGATTCACCAAATAGGTTCCAGGCAGTCCCTGGCAACACCACTCCCTGTTGGCTATCCAGGGAGCCAATTGGCTCTCAGTCCCTTTGGCTGCCCTCCAATGCTGTCAGATCGGGGAGGCTGGGGGAGCCAGCTTTGTTCTTCCAATTCTCTCTTTCAGGTGGGAACAGTCAACGGGTCTAGGTCCCCATGGTCCCTCATTTCAGCCCCCAAGTTGTAGCCTTTAGAACTTCACCATCCTGAGGCCTGAGATTGACCTTCAAGTTCCTGGGTTTAAGGAGGGGCTAGGCAGTGCTTTGGGGAAGAAGTAAAGGAGGTTGGGGAGAGATTGTTGCTTATGGACCCAATAATGACTGTGCCTCTCCAATCCCTTCCTTTCACCCCAGAAGAGAAGTACATCACGGTGCAGCCGTACACCAGCCAGAGCAAAGATGAGATTGGGTTTGAGAAGGGGGTCACTGTGGAGGTGATCCAGAAGAACCTAGAAGGATGGTGGTACATCAGGTAATGTGCTTCCTTTAGCTGTGAGAGCTGTACACCCTGCATCTTATTAATCTCTATTTCTAAAGACAAGCCATTTCTGGCAGAGCAGAGAAAAACCAGAGCAGCTTTCTTCTCACACTCTCCCCTTTTCCTTCCCTTCCCCCTCCCCTGTTGCAGAATGGGCGTCAGATGGTAATCAGTTATTAACTGCAGCATGTTGTAGGGGCCTGGATGTGAGGGTGTTGGCAGATGGAGCCTGAAGATCTGAAAGGTTTGACCAAACCGTGCTTATCTTGCAAATTTCCTTCCCTGGAGGAGAAAAAAATAAATGGAGACCCAGCCACAGCCAAGTTGGGGCAGTGGTTTTAGCCTCTGGCGGGCTGGGCCAGGCTTATATAGGCTATGATGCAATTCCCTTGGCTTCACATCTGCAAGAAGGTTTCAGTGTGTCTGAGTTTGGTTTCCCGTGTCCAAACCAGGGCCATCTGGCATCCCCTCTGACAAGGGCTGCTTGGGGCTCTAGGCCACAAGGGCCATGACACACTCAGCCCCAATTCTTGTACTCCCTGCTATAGTAAGCCTGGCTGCCAGTTATTTGGAACACCAGCCAGTCACAGCTGACCCCAGCCTGAGGCTCTTCCCCTACCCACCTTGAAGGCTGGAGCCTGGGAGGGGGGTTAAGCCCATCACAAGTTTAGGAGCCAGGTCAGGCTACTCAAGCAAATTCTAAGCTATCAGCCACTTGATGAAATGGGGCTCCCCAAAGGAATAGGATATCCCAAGACTGACATCTGGACATGGCCAGAGAGCTAGAGACATGTGGCTGAAGTTGAGGTCAAAAGCAAACAACATAGATCCTGGATTGTCAGAGCTGGAAAGGGTCCATTTTAGAAAGAGAAACTATCACTAAGAGACAGGGCGAATGACTTGCCTAGAATCACACAAGTTAATGATAGATTTCTGATTTTCTGCATCTTAGGACACTGAGTCAATTCTAGTCAGACTCTTAATTTAGAAGATCATGAGAGGACTCCCCCCTCCTTTCCCCCCCCAGCCATGAAACCACCTGCAGACCACAGAATCATGGAATGGCAGAGATCATCTAGCCTGGTCTCCTTATTTTTCAGCTGGGGAAACTGAGGCTCCTGAGAAGTTAGATAACTCCTTGCCTACAATTACATACTGAGGTGGTGGCAGAGTCAGGATTCTACCCCAGGTCTTCTAACTCCAAAACGCTTATTCTTTTCACTCCCTAACACAACCATCTTGTGACATCTCGTGAGTGAAAGTCATCAGGAACTCTCAGGCAAAAGACCCCTGGAAGGTCATCTCTGAGCCTCCTGGTTAACTGACTGACTGACTGACAAGCAAAGGATTCATTCATTCCTTTGCAGATCATATCTTTTCTTTCCTTGAGGCCTCTGTCTCTTAGAAAGGATCCTTCCCTTGGAGACTGACTTAGTCCAAGAGAACAAGGAAACACAGCTCTGTATGAGTAATTCTGCTTAGCCTGCCATTCACTGAACTTTGCTTAGCTTGGCAGAGAAGTTCACCCCAAACTTCTGGGCACAGGGATCAGTTTCTGAGCCTACTTTAAATGTGTATAGGCTCCCATCTACTCTTCCCTCCTCATAACATCCTGTCTGTTACAGACAAACATGATGCTCTTGTCCCTACACAGCTAAGGTCAGTATGTGTTTAGAATTGTGTGCCTAGCAGTGGGGACTGGTTGTTCTGAGTCATGCACACTCTCACTCAGCTACTGGGATGAATTTATGCATTTTGTGAAGGCAGCTGGCAGGAGGGCTTCCTCCTAGAACCCAGGTTTCCTGATTTCTCATTCAGTATTCTTTCCACTATGCTGTACAGCTGCTTTCGGTTCAACTCAAGAAATATTCATAGAATGCTTACTAAGCATAAGATAGTAAGAGCTAACAGTGGGTCAGTGGGACTAGCACCTGAAGTAAGACTTAGCCTAAAACAGTGATTCTTAACCTGGGTCCTTGGACACCTCGCTTCCCACCCCTCACCAAAGAGTCTGTGGTTAGATTTCAAGGGTCCATAAATTTGGAAACGGAAAAACAACTACATATTTATTTTCAACTAATCTTCACACCTCCTCTGTAGTTCATTTCTACATTAAAAACTATTCTGAGAAGGGGCTCAGAGGCTTCAGCAGACTGCCCAAGGAGTCCAAGACACAAACAAGATTAAGAGCTCTTGACCTAAAAGAAGCCTAGCTCAGGGATGGGGAAACCTTTGGTCTCAAGGCCACATGTGGCCCTCTAGGTCTCAAGTGCTACCCTTTGACTGAATCCAAACTTCACAGAACAAATCCCCTTAATAAAAGGATTTGTTCTGTAAAACTTGGACTCAGTTAAAAGGTTGTACCCAAGAAGCTAGAAGGCTACCTGTGGCCTCAAAGCCACAGGTTCCCTGCCCCTGGCCAAGCTTCTCTGGCCGGGCTGCAGCTGCTAGCAGTTAGGAATCCAAACATGAAGATGTGTCCTATCCCCTCCTGCTCTCCAGACTCTGGCATTGGTATCAGAGGCAGGATTTGAACCCAGGGCACCTGACCCCAGAACCACTCTGATACTGTGTGACCTCCATCCTGGGCCTCAGTTTCCTCATTGGTAAAAATAAGGGAGGATCAGACTAGATAGCCCTTTGAGGGCCCTTCCAGCTTTAAGATACTTTGATCTTACCTGAGTTCAAATGTGACCCTGGCCAAGTCACTTAACCTCTGTTTGCCTCAATTTCCTCATCTGTAAAATGAGGATTATCACAGCACCCACCTCCCAGGGTTGTTGTGAGGAGCAGAGTGCCTGGCACATAGTAGGTGTTATCTAAATGTTAGCTATTGTGGTTGTCACTCTCTTACTGTCTTCCCCAGCCAGCTGTCTCTAAACTTCTCATTTCCAGGTTCTCTAAGACAGCCACTACCAAACCCACCCTGATGTGGATTGGTTCCAATAGCCTCTTCCTCCACCACCAGGCTCAAGCTTTAAGAAGGAACCTCTGGTAGTCTGAATGGTCCTTACCTAGATTCTGTTTCTATCTCTAGATTCTATTGGGCTGGCTGTGTGACCTTTCTCTCTTCTCTGCACCAGCCCCACTTTCCCATCTATAAAGTGAGGGAGCCAGATAAGACGATATCTTCCTTACAGCTCTAGCGTTCTCGAGGTCTGTCCTGTAAAGATCTGTTCCACCTTAAGAACGCTGCCTCTGGCCCCCTTAACTGTGATTTCCCAACATTCCAAGCTCTGTGTTCATCCTCATTTCCTGTCTGTTGCTCCATCTCACTCCTTTTTTCCCCTGGTTTCCTCCATCTCTGGAGGGATTCCAGGGCTCTCGAGCTGGAAAGCAGATGTTAAGGAGTCTGAGTCCAGATTAGATGCACGGAGGCACTTCTGAGTTCCCAGCCTGTTTTTGCTCAGTATTTACCTTTGTCACTGTAACTCTGGAGACAAAAATAAGTTTTGAGGCCTGGGGCCAAGAGAAGGAAACCTAGGTCCTAATTCTAATTCTGTCGTGTGTATGGGCCTCAGGTTCCTCCCCTGTAAAATGAATATTGGACTAGATGATCTCTAAATTACCTTCCAGTTTTGACAACCAGTGTTTTATTCAGGATCCCTAGGTAGAGAGGCTTGAACAGAACTGTACATGTCTGTGAGTGGGGATCCAGGGCTAGAATCTTTAGCAGGGTTTCCCTATCTGTCTTGGCTTGCTCCTGTACGTTTCTATCTTACGTGCTCAATGTCTCAGCCGACCCTTACGAGACCTCTAATCTTGTACTTGCTTTGGCCTTTAACTCTAGCCATGGACTAACCCCCTAATTTGTAACCACACTCACCCCCTAATCTCTGCCATAGATTGACCCCCTAGCACTGGTTTATGACCATCCCTTAAACCGATTGTAGGCTGACCTTCAATCCTGAACCAGGCTAGCCTCTAATGTCAGCCATAGATTTACCCTAAATCTGGCCCCAGATTGACTATTTACCATGGCCTCCCACCTGCCCCTACCGAAGCAAGTGACATCTGTGACCATCTGTGATGGGACCCATCCTTTCCTCTCCATAACCTGTCATTGAAGCCAGATTGTTTGACCATATGCATAGAAACCGGGCTAGGCCTGGTTTTGATGGAACCTCTGATGTCAGAAGCTCAGACTGATAGGGTCCCTGATCCCAAACGTGGAAGTGAATGCTGATGTAAATGACCATGACAACCATTCATATTTTCCTGTCCCCGGTTCTTATATGCCAATGGTCAGGAAGCTTTTTTGGGGAGCAAAAACTTTCCTGTTCCAACAGTATTATTATTACAATTGACAGGAAAAGTAACACCTGACATTTTTATAGTGCTTTATTTTTCCAGGAGTTTTCATTTCCATTACTTCATATCCATAACTTTCCATTACCACACTCCTATGAGGTAGGAAAGCAGAGACCATTCCCATTTGACAGATGAGAAAATTGAGCTTCAGAAGAGCCGAGTTATTTGCCCCAGTGCATATACAGACAGACAGGATTCAAACTCAGATGTCCTTACTCCTTGTCCAGGGCTCTTTCCACTACAGAATTCCAACATGTTGAGCATACATGTGGTCTTTTGGGTGGCCTTCCTCAGGGTGGGACAAGGGTCCCCAGGCCTGAACAGCTTAGACCAGACTATTAGGGAGCCTGGAAAAGATTGACCCTCTCCCTTCCCTGCCTGTATCTCTCAGTCTCTAGTGGCCTGTAGATTTCAGGCTTTGACACCAAAGCCATATGCATGAGACAAATGCCTCTGCAGAGTGCCTGTGACTGTCTCTCTCATTGGACCCTGTTGAGAAGAGGCCCAGCCTTGACCTCAGGAGACCTGACTCCTGGTTCCAGTTCTGCTTCTCACTCTGCAGCCGTGGACAAATCACTTCCCCTTCTCTGGGCCTCAGTTTCCTCCTACATAAAGTGAAGAGATGGGACTGCATAATCCCTAAGGTCCCTTTGAGCTCTAACATACTTTGTTCTGAGATTTCCCCAGATGATCCTCTCCCCTTTCCCCCACTGCCCTGGGGCTTTCTCCTATAAAATGTAGATAATAGCACTTACTTCCCGGGGTTGTTGTGCAGATCAAAGGAGATTATATTTGTAAAGCACTTAGCACTGTGCCTGGCATGTAATAGGTGCTTAATAAATGCTTGTTTCCCTTTTTTCCTAGCCCTCCCCTGTATTTTGATCCCTCAGGCCTTCATCTACTGGTTCTGCTGTCTAGCAACAGCTGACTAAGGCCCCCAGTCTTGAGGGCTCCCCCTTTTCTACCCTTTTTCCCAGCCTGGCCCATCCCAGGCAGAGGACCATAGTACTGACCCTCAGCCTGTCTGAAACTCATCCCAGGGCTATTGTGAGCCTGAGTGAAATGATGGGTGGGAAAACCATTTGAGTGAGAATTAAACCCTGTATCAGTCCCATAAATTAATTAGCATTACTGCTTTCATTTAGCCTATAGGTTAGAAGAAGTGGAAAGGCTCCCCCCTCCCCTTGCTTTACACCAACTTCTGTCATTCCATTAAATAGGCTGTAGAGGCCTTTTCCATCTTACGGATGGACTGTGTTTCAGAAGTATGTCTGTTACTGGGAACTCTTCTCATTGCATTCTAGAGTTGATATTCTCTTTTCCAATCTCCCTCTCAATACCAGAATTCCCCTCTATTCAAAGGCCTCCATTGAGGCAAAGCATTGACTTCCTTGGAGGCAGCTAGTGGTTCAGTTTCCTGGGCCAATTCACAGTCTCCTACTGGGGCTGAGCAATAGCACTCCTAACACCAGCTCGAATTCCAAGGCCTAAAAGCAGAAAGGCATGTGGTACAGGTGGGAGAAGGAAGAAGAAATACATATACCCCTTTGTTGGAAGCAATATTTTGAAAATGGGCAGTTGGTCATTGGCTCTTCCCACCTCCCTTTCTGTACTTCTCTATCACTATCCATTGCATGATCTTCTGGGCCCCAGGCTACTTACCCAAGATCCTACTCAAACCTGCTCTTCTTCCCCCTCCTCATGTACTCCCCCAGGCTCTCTCCATAGATGAAAAACCATCTGGATTATTTCTGATGCACCTCCAACCACTTCCTAGTGCCTTCTATGAGCACTTACCTACTCTGTCTGCCCCCTCCCCCCAGCCCAGTTCCCTTAGCATGACAGCTGGGCTTGATAGCAGTGACAAGGAAAGACTGGGTAGATCATATTAATCATCCCAGTCTGTCAGACCAGTTAAGAATGACTAGAGACCTCAGTCTTCCCAGGACCATGTGCGCATTTTTAAAAAGAGAAACCTGTCAAAGCTTTTGAACAGGAGAGCAACATGTTAGAAGTAGTGCTTGAGGAAGATGTGTCTGAGAAAGATGTAGTCATTCTACATCCTGAGTGGAAGATGGGAGATGGGCCATGGCTTCAGAAATCTCCTGTCTCAGACAGCTTGTTGTGCCCAGGAGTCCTCATTTGCTGATGTCACAGGTATGCACTGAGGTCCCCCTGTCTTTAGAGGGAAAACCTCTTCTGGTGATATCTGAGGGCACAGATACCCAGCATGCGTTGCCCTCTACTAGAAGCCTAGCCTCATATCTTTTAGCTTGACTTAGAAACCTGTAGAGAAGTATATGACTCTGGATCCTTCATGCTGGGGAAACTGGAGCAAAAGCATTTTTATAGAGTCCTTAAGGATGCCTGAGTCCCCAGAGATTCCCTCTGAAAAGAATCCAAAGTAACAAGATAGAACAAAGACAGAGGGAAATTAGAGAAACTCTCTCCTCCTTGTTAGCCTTTCATCCTGTTTCCTTCCTAGAAGCAGGTTGGGTGGTATATTGGGTAGAACACTGGGCCTGGAGTCAGGAACACCTGAGTTCAAATCTAGCCTCAGACATCTGCTGCTAGCTGTGTGACCCTGGGCAACTTACTTCACTGTCTGCCTCAGTTTCCTCAACTGTAAAATACGATTATAATAGTACCTACCTCCCAGGGTTGTTGTAAGGATCAAATTAGCTAATATGTGTAAAGTGCTTAGCATAGTGCCTAGCACATAGTAGGTAATTAATAAATATTTGTTTCCTTTCTTCCTTCCCTCCACTGTTACCCACTCCCCTTTATTCGAGCCTTTTTTCGCTGAGGTTTAGGATTATTTAGAATTGTGGCAGGAGCTGGTAGGCTTCAGGCCTGAGAACATCATCTCCCCACAGTCTTAAGGATAACATTAGCTTCTCAGAGTGTTGGAAGGGACCTTAGCAATCATCCAGTCCAATTCCCTTATTTTATAAATGAGGAAACAGGCCCAGAGGGGTGAGGTGGCCCAGGGATGATTTGCCCAAAGTGACAGAGCACGTAACCAGCAGAATCAGCATTTGAACCCAAGTTCTCAGACTCCAAATCCCTGTGCACACTACACTGTACTGAGCAGCCTTCTCATGCAGCCTGCAAGAATGAATGATTGATTACTTGGCCCAGCCAGTCTAGACAGTTGATATGTTGTTGTCTGGGTCCCCTAGTGAAGTCAGTGCTCCCGCCTCATCTCCCTGTGGCAGCAGGCCAATGGATTAGGAGAGCTTTGGGGGAAGGGGGGGTGACATAGGGACTGCTCAGAAGAGGGTCTTTTTATAGCACCACTGCCCTTTGACCACAACTTTCACTCATAGGGAAAATCACATTCAATAGATTCCTCAAATTTTAGAATCATAGAGTTTTAGAATCATGGAATAATCATGGAAAGTTAGAACCGGAAGAATCTCCATATTTTAAAAGCTGAACTGTATTGTGTGAACCGGTCAAATATTTTAGCTATCCACTGGAGACCATTCTTCCCCTTGCAACCTCAAGACACTGGCCTTCATTCAGCAGGTCAGAGTGAGGGGGTCAGAATAGAACACAAGGAAGAGAAATTGAGGTTTTGGAAAGTTTATAATATAGATTTTAAGAAAAAAAGATTTTCAACAGTAAAATTTCACAGACCAGTTAAATATACCATTGCATAGGAAACTGAGGCGCAAAGAAATTTTATTGTAATAGATAGAGTACTGATGTAGTCAGGAAGACCTGGGTTCAAATCCTGCCTCAAATACTAGCTGTGTGACCCTGAGCAAATCATTTAACAACTCTATGCTTCAGTTTCCTTATCTGCAAAATGAGGGGATTGACCTTGATGATATATAAGATCTCCTGCAGCTCTAAAACTGTGATTCTATGATCCCTTGGTCACATAGCCAGTAAATGTCACAGGTGGGATTTGAACCCAGATCTTACTGACTACTCTATCCTCTGAACCACAGTAAGAGAAGAGGATGTGGCCATCATGAAGAATTTTTACATAACTTACTGAGCTGCATTTAAATGGTGTGGCTTGACCATTACCAATGCCACCTTCCAGGCAACCAAGCTTTAAAAAACATGGGATCTCATTTTTATCTCCCATATCTGTCTGGTTTGGGGAGAACAGGCACATGAAGAAAGAACCAGGAGAGAGGTTTGGGCTACTATGTTATACTTTTCGTAACTTGTAACCATTCCCTTGGATCTGAACAGCTACTTCCTGCTGGAATGTGGGAGTGGATTTTTGATCCAGTAATGATAGAGGGGGAGAGAAGGGGCAGAGCTAGGGGGGATCAGGCTTGGACTTTGGGCATCCAAATAGAGACATGAAGGTTGGACACATGGAGGCCTGAGAGCTCCCTGGGGCTGAACAATTCAGAGACATGGAGCCCAAGCACTAGTGTGTTAAAGTTTAGTGCTCTCCTTGCCACAGGTATCTGGGAAAAGAAGGCTGGGCACCAGCATCCTATCTGAAAAAAGCCAAAGATGACCTCCCCACTCGGAAGAAGAACCTGACAGGCCCTGTTGAGATCATCGGCAACATCATGGAGATCAGCAACCTGTTGAACAAGAAGGCATCCGTTGACAAGGAGGCACCTGCGGACAGTGAGGGCCCCGAGGCCCCCGTCACCAAGAAGGAGATCAGCCTGCCTATCCTCTGCAGCACTGCCAATGGTAACACAGTGGGCACTCCCGAGAAGCCGGGCTCAAAGCTGGCACAGGGATCACCAGCCGTGGCCAGGATCGCACCTCAGAGGGCACAGATCAGTAAGAGACTTGCTCCCTCCCCTTTCCCTTTGCTTCTGCCATGGTCCTTATTCTCAACCAAGAACATGCAGCTGTGAAAGCCAAGGCCTTTGGTTTCATCTTGGAATGAACTTTGAACTTCACTCTGACCTCCTTCAATCCCAATCAGAGACTGACCCCTTAATCTTAGCTACAGAATGAACTCTAATCCTGACCCCAGAAGGACCCCTAACCCTAGCAACAGCCTGACCTCTCACCCTGTCCAACCATATGTTCACAAAAGGGTTTGAACAAGAGAGTGTAGATGGCTCAAGGAATTCATCCCCCTGCTAGCAGCATGTTTTCCACAAAGGACACATGTTCTGAACATTGGAGGCACATTCTGTTAGCACCTGCCATCTTCTCTGGGGAGCCCTGGCTACAGTCCCATAATGGGGAACAGCCCGGGCAGTGGGGTAAAAGTCAGAAAGGCCCAAGCTGTCCAGCATTTGAGGCAGGAAAGGACTTCGTAGCAGTCAAGCCATGGAGGAGCGATTTGGGGGTTTTGGGGGGAGCGGAGTGGAGGACTTCTTTCTGGAAATTTGGGAAGCAGATGTGGCCCAGGCTCCTTGCCTTTGTTGGTGTTGTTGAAATAGTAGGATCATAGAGAGACCATAGTGCTGGAAGGGACTTACCAGGCCATTTAGACTGACCTCCTCATTTTATAGCAGAGGCCTAGAGAAGTTTAGTCATTTGCCCAAGGTCACATTTTGCTTCTTCAGTTTTCCAGTAACACACAATAGTCAGGACTTCATTACTAGCAGCCATTACTGATACCCTTGGTCTTGATCTTGGTATCATGTCCTTTAGGCCTATCAAACTACAGAAAGGGAGAATATGCAGCATCTGCCGTGGTCAGAACAGACACACACATTGTGTCCCAAAAGTCTTAGTGCAATTTTAAGCTTTAATAGTTACAGGGATTAAATATTATGAACTATATCTGTATATGTGTTATGTAGATTAAGTGTAATGAGGTAACTATCGATAGATAAAGATATATCTCATATCTACATACATAGACTATCATATTTAATCTATGTAATGCTCCTGTGAGGCCAGCTGGGAAGGATCATTATCTTCATTTTATAAATGAGGAAACTGAGTCTCAGAAAAGTTGAGTGACTTGTCCAAGGTCAAGAGCCAGTATCCAAACCCTGGCCTCCTGATTCCTAATCAGAATTTCCCGCTGATATCACAAGAGCTCCATGGCAAACCTTTACTTTATTCTCTGGAGGTTTCTGGTACCTCAATCTTCCCTTGGCTGGCGTGTGAAGGAAACACTGTCTTCCACAAGCACTTGACTGCATAAAATATAGAAAACAGCCCTGGTTTTCTAATGAGAAGACCTAGGTTTGAATCCTAGTTCTGCCAGGAGTAGCTTTAGGAGAGTGGCTTCGTGTGGCTGGGGCTCAGGTTTTCTCGTCCATGAAATGGTGATAATGATCCTTGGTCTCAAATGAGATAATATGTATAAAGCATAAAGTGTTGCACACATCTGCATTGCTATCATTATCATCATCATCATTATCATTGTTGTGGTTTTTTGTAGGAATTAAGGAATAATCTAAACCATGGGTAGGAAACCTGTGGCCCCAAGGCCACATGTGGCCCTCTAGGTCCTCAGGTGCAGCCCTTTGACTGAATCCAAACATCCAGTTCTTCCCATCCATGGCTGCTTCTGGATCTTTAACAAGCAGGGTTCCTGTGTTGAGGGATTGGATCTGTACCGGAGGCCAGGGAAAGACTAATTTGCTTCTGACTCTCAGCCCAAGTTAAAGTGTTTGAAATTTGGAGAAAAGTCAGTTTCTTTAGTCCCAACCCAGATTAGGGCTTATCAGTGTCCTCCTTTTTTGCCCAGTTTCAGGATGAGAGGAAGGGGAGAGATTAGGCTGAGGTGCAGAAGCTGCTTATTGTCCTATTCAGATTTCTAAGGATTTCTTTCTTGTTCCAGGTTCTCCAAATCTAAGGACAAGGCCCCCACCACGAAGAGAATCCAGTCTGGTTGGTATTTAATTTTCTTTCCTACTCTTACTTAAGAATCATAGAGTGTTAGATCTAGAAGGGACCTTAGAAATCATTTGGGGGAGGGGGGTAGCTAGGTGGCAAAGTGGATAGTGCACTGGCCCTGGAGTTAGGAGGACCTGAATTCAAATCCAGTCTCAGACCAGACACTTGACACTTACTAGCTGTGTGACCCTGGGCAAGTCACTTAACCCCAGTTGCCTCACCCCCCCCCAAAAAAAGAAATCATTTGGACCAAACCTCTCATTTTATTGAAGATGGAATTTGGGGCTCAGAGAGGGAAATTGACCATCCAAGGTCCCAAAATTAGTTACTAGTGAAGTAGCAGAGAGAAACCTAAAGTCTAGGTCTCTGACTTCAAAGAGTTGGCCAGTCAAAATCATAGACTGAGTTGGATGGGACTATGTTAGTCCAACTTTTTCATTTTACCAATGAGGAAACTGAGGCATGGAGAAGTTAAATGACTTTTCCAGGATCACACATCTAGTAAGTATAAAAGGCAAGATTTAAAGCCAGGTATTTCTGACTTTGTGATAGAAGACTCATCTTCCTGAGTTCTAATCTGACCTCAGACACTAGCTGTGTGACTCTGGCAAGTCACTTCACCCTGTTTGCCTCAGTTTCCTCATCTGTAAAATGAACTGAAGAAGGAAATGGCAAACCACCCCAGTACCTTTGCCTAGAAAACCCCAAATGGGGTCACAAAGAGTTGGACATGACTGAAAAATGACTGAACAACTACAACAGAATGTCTGACTTTAATTCCCTTACTTTATCTACCACTATCCAGAGTCCCATGACTCGTTTGTGATTGGGTCAGAACTAGAACGTGGGTTTGCTGGTTCTCTGTTCTCCTTCATGTGGGGTGGGATTTATGTATGTCTGCCTCTCACAGAACTGAGGTGGGAGCTGGACTGTTTGTGGAGAAGGGATTTTGGTTCTGTCAGTTCAGAACTCTCAAAATCAAGGTCTCCATGTTCCTGGAAGCATTGCCAATGGTGTTGAATGTAGGAGTTAACATAACATATTCCTAAGAGCCTGGGTCATGGAGAGAGGACTCCAACACTGAAACTCCGGGGGCCTGGCTGGAGGATTTATCACTCAGAAGCCCACTGTATTCTCAACCTAAATAAAGACATCTGTAGTCACCAAGCCTGGCAGACATAAACATTTAGACTGGACATCTCAAGTGTCCTGCCGCCTATTTACTAGGCTCTAGAAATGTGGATGGTGCATACATGGGCTTAGTTCAAAGGCCTTTGTATTTCACCCAGAAAAATATATACCAGTAATAAAGTTAACTGTCAAGAGTGAACTGTAGGAAAAGGCCCTGGTGGCCGGGGTTCCTCAGAGACAGAAGAAATGATTAGGGACCCACATTTATGGGTAATCACCTTCCTCATCTGGCCGCCTGGCTCTCAGGATACAGAAAGTGATACGGAGCAGGAAGTAAGTGTTTGACTCTGCCCCCAGAAAATTATGAACTGCTGTATCAAAACACACAAGCTTACAAGTCTTCTTAAGATGGACTTTGTCCATGCTGAGCCAGGCCATGGATTCCAGGGACAGCCCCAGGGGAGTGGGCAAGATACTAGAATCCTAAATCAAGAATCTAAAGGAACCTCAGGGACTAATCTAGCCTAACTTGCTAATTTTACAGATGGGGAAACTGAGGCCCATGGAGGTTAAGTGACTTAACCAAGGTCACACAAGTGACACAACATGAGAGGTGGAATTTTAATCTTGACTGAGTAGAGTTCAGGGGAGCAAACTAAAATTTTCCCCTCACTAGGGCAGCACTCTGGGATAAAGAACCCAGGCCACTATCGCTGGGCCTTTTCCCTTGGGGAGGAAGTTGTGGGAATAGAAGAAAAATGAGAATATAAAAAGAACCTGAAACAGCATCCAGGCATAACTTTCATACCCAGGTAGGCTATTTGGAGTTGAAATGTATTCAAATACCAAAGTCCTTTGCTGAGGGCAGCACATTTCAAAGGACCTAACATGTTTATCCATGGTGAATGTATAGGTGAGCCCCCTTCAGGAAAACACAACTGTGATGGTTATGCTCACAAAGCAGAAAAATTAGGGGGTGATATTAGAGAAAGATTCACCACTTAACACTAAATAGGAAACTCATCAGGTCCATGGAAGCATTTGCTTAGAGATCCCTAACTCCTTGATGGACAGTGATGGGAGGAGGGAAACCACATGCCAAGTCTGGGGAGTTACTGCCCATCTCAGAAAGAGAGATGCAGGTTCAGGACCAAGCAGACAAGCTAACCTCAGGGCACCACCAAGCACCAGGGACAGGGCCAAGCCAAAACACAGCAGTAGGTCGGAGGTCAGGAAAGCAGAGAGAGCAAGACAGCCCTTAGGAATGAGCAGCTCTGCAGAAGCCGAGAGGGAGGGAACGCAGGTACAAGACACCAGGGGGGACCTCACTACCTGGAGCTCCTCAATCTCAGGCCTCTTTAATGAGTCTTGTTGACGAAAAGAGCCAATTCACAGAACCTGAGAGTTGGAAGGGACCTCAGAGGGTACCTAATCTAACCTGTGCAGGATCCCATTAATAATAACAATAATAACTAGCATTTATATAGCACTTTAAGGTTTACATCTCATTTTATTCTCACAACAACCCGGAAGGTAGATACTATTATTATCCCCACTTTACAGATGAGGAAACTGAGGCAGACAAAGGGTTCAATGACTTGCTCAGGGTCACACAGCTAGTATCTGAAGCTGAATTTAAACTTGGGTCTTCCTGATTCAAGGTCCAGTACTCTATCCACTGCATCACCTAGCTGCCTCTTATAGCATTTCTGTGGTCAGCCCAGCCTTTATTTCATTCTAGAGTGACCAGCCCAAGCCATGACTATAGCAAGAGGCAGTAGGAGCACGAAGGAGGCAGGTAGGTGTAGTAGTGAATAGAATACTAGACTTGGAGTCAAAGAGACCTGAGTTCAAATCTGTGTGACTCGGGGAAGTTATTTAACCTTTCTCAGCTTCTGTTTCCTCATCTGTAAAATTGGTAAAACTTGAAGCACTTCAAAAATGTTAGCTATTATTATTAGCTAGTTCTTATTGACTCAGGTGGAAAATGTGTAGGCAGGATAAATTCAAAGCACGTATGTAGATTTGAACACAAGGAATCTAGGAAGACTTCTCTTACTCTGCTGGGCTTATGGGAAAGGTGGCACTCAGCTCAAACAAGGGATTGTAGCCATTATAGTGAAATGGAGTAAGCATTTATTAAGCACCTGCGGTGTGCCAAGCACTGTGCTAACAAATGTGATTTCAATTGATATATCCCATTGGGTAAAACCATAGGACCCCAGATTTAGAGCTGGAAAAAGGGACTTTGGCACCCATCCAGTCTAATTGACCATTCAATTTATAAAGGAGGAAACTGAGGCCCATATTGGTGAAATGACTGACCTAGAAGCACACATAGATGGTCTTTGGCAAAGAAGGGATTTAGAGTACCTTTCTCCACCCGCCCTCCCCCCCAATCTGGCTTGCGCTCTCAGCTGCATGGACTTTGCTTCTTTTTGTTCCCACTGAGAGGTGTACTGCTGAATGTTGACTTTTCCTCCTGAATCGCTTAGCCCTGACTAATTATTTTCGATTAGACTTTATTTTGGCAGCAACGCTGCAATTAATTCCATACTCACCAAGCACACATGGAATGCCAGGGCAGCAGGCTTGCTGGTTCCAATTAAGCCCTGAGGAATCCCTCCCATCCAAGGGTCAGAGCAGGCTAGGCTACTCTGTCCACAAAGCACGTGCATGCGTGGAGCACCATTGTGCCCTTTTGGAGGGTCTGTGCTCGGTCTCCTTCTGCTGTAGCCACTTTCCCCATAGCCATGGTTTGCCCCCTTGTGGGCATATCTTCTCACTTCCACTTCTCAGTGTTGCTGAGGAAGGATGGGGTGGAGAAGAGAGTTCTGGCTGGGAATCGAGAGACTTGGGATCACAGATTTAGAGCTGAGAGAGACCTTTGAGATCCATCTAGTTCAACCCCCTCCAGTTTTACAAATGAGAAAACCGAGGCCCAGAAAAATGAATTTCTTACCTGATCCCACAGCTAATAAATCACAAAGCTGTGATTCAAAACCTTCTTGACTCCAAATAGAGTGTTCTTTCCAGTACACCTGGTTCTTTCACTCTCATCCTATGAGATATGTCCCCACCAGTCACATGCATGTGTATGCACACACACACACACACACACACACACACACACACACACACACACACACTACTCCATTGTTATGGCAGGATCTGATCTGTAGTGAGCATTGCCCTGACCAAACCAGTCTTCTCAAAAATATGGGCTTTCTCCTTCTTCCCTCATTAGTGACCAATCCCTGCCCCCCCTTTCCCCCTCCATTTCTTAACCCTATTCTCTGCTTTCAGTCACCAACACTCGAGTGAGGCTGTCAGTCACCAAGAGGATTTTTCCTCTCCTGGGGCTGTACACTGTCAGCCTTATCTCTACCTGGAGAATGAATGGCTTTCACCTTTCTTAAGGGAGTGTTAAGTGCCGGGGCCATTGATGTCATACACTCCTTGTGAGGGTAGGACCAGTGACACCTTATTCATCAGGCATTGGGCAAAGAGCTGTCCACAGAAAGAAATTCACTGTGTAACTAGAGTTCTTTAAGAACTGAAGCTCCTTCAAAATAAAACCATTTTTCACAGACATCTTTCTCAGGTAAATTATGCACATTTAAACTTAAAACAAGTTCTATTTTTTTTTCCCTCAGTGATTGACTCAAGGTTATCACCATGAACATAAATGATCATACTGGGTTATTACACAGTGATGCTTCTGAGTAGCTCTTGTGCTCAGCTGGGCTATTTGCCTCTGTTTAAATGGTGGAGCTGAAACCCTGGGATGGGATAGGACAAAAATAAAATGTTCTACACAATTGGATCTGGAGGGGACCTTAGCTCAGAAGTGTCAAATACACTGTGAATGCCACCGACAGCACAACCAAACTGGATTAACAATGAACCGGAAAATCTCTAACAAAATAAATAAAAATGCAGCAAGACACAGATAATGTTAATAAGTGATTTTCTAAGCTAGTATGTGGCCCATAGGGATCCTTTCGAGTTTGACCCCACTGACTCAGATCATCTAATTCCAAACTCCATTTTTGAGGTGAGAAGATTTAAGGCCAGAGCTATTCAATGATCCATCCAGAATTACAGTGAAAAGCAATTTACAACCCATCTAGGCCAAAACCTTCATTTCAGAGATGGGGAAATGGAATCAATTTTGTCTCCCTCCTGTGCCATCAACTGCTACTTTGGCTGCTGTATTTTACACACAGTTATCCCAGTCAGGGCCCAAGGTCACTTTCTGGTCTGTCCTAGGGAACAAAGTGTATGAACTTTCTGATGGCTGTTTTTTTATTTCTGGATTCCCTACTGTGTCCTAGGTTATTCAGGCTGCTGGAAGTCTGACCTTCAGGTGCTTGGGGCATTACTGTATTGTAAATAATTATTTCCAGAGCCCAAATGAGTTGGGAATAAATTCATTTTAACAGTAGGGGTCTCCTTGACCTAGTAAACAGGTGTATCTCACATGATATTGTCCTAACCAGTGCTATATTACAATCAAATTAAGATGTTATAAGCATATACCTGGCATAAGTCTCCCTCCATAATGTTGCTAGTTTCCCCATCAGGCTGAGTCTGATTTGTATTGTCTAATGGCCACTTCTAGACAGTTAGCTCCATTCACTCCGATGACTCTTTCTGTACCTTCCTTACTGTATGTAAGTCTTTTTCTGTTGATTGAACTATCCTTAGTAGTGATATTTCTACTCCTGTCCTTTTTGTGATACCAAGTCACAACATTATGCCAGGTGTGTCTGAATTCTACGAATCCTTTGCCAGGTGATATGATTCATGTCTAGAAGTCCTTCCATCTGAATTGAAGCCAAAATAACATGCCATCCGTCTCATCCAGAAATGTGCCACTTAATCCTTTACAAAGGACTTTACCTACTGCTTCATTTTTCCCCCTCCTAATAGTCTTATGAGATAGTGCACAAGGTATCCCAAAAATCTCAGTGCAATTTTAAGCTTTTAAACACACTAGAAAGTGAAGACTTCACAGATCAAAAGACTTGCCAAGGTTAGGATAGGGACTTGAGCCTATGTCTTTCCATTCTAGGTCCTATGTTCTTTCCTTTATGCTAGAACACCTTTCTGGCACAGCGTCAGTCATTTCTGCCACCCGGGCTGTCCCCTGACCTTTCCAGGTCAAATGGACTTTGATAGTGTATGCCTTCCTTATTACTGTCAGGGCTCAGTGGAGGATCGTAGTCATAAGGAGAGCTGTCACTAGGAATCTATGCTTCTAAGGAGGACCATCAACTACATCTGAGACAGGTGTCCCCAAACCAACGCTTGGTGGGGTATGCGGGAAGAGTGGCCTACCATCTAGTAGCTTCCATAATTTGATTAGTTTTTGCTAACTAGGAGCTCCTTTCAATTGTTTCTCTGCTGCCAGAGGACTACTACTATCAGTACCCTCTAAATCAGGCACACTGAGGCAAAGGTCCAGTTTGCCCCATCCTAGTTATAGCTCTGCTAGTAGTAGAAGAGGTAACTTGTGGTTCATCCTTAGCTATCTGTGGTTAACAAGGTACTTTCCCCATGCCAGTCCTGGGAAGTAGGTAGATAACTAACTGAGCCTTTTTCTGTGGATTGCAGGGCTTCCAGCTGCCAAAGCCACCAGAGCCCCCTTCTGTAGAGGTGGAGTACTACACCATCGCCGAGTTCCAGTCTTGCATTTCGGATGGCATCAGTTTCCGGGGTGGACAGAAGGCAGAGGTGATTGTCATCAGTGTGGCTTTGGCCCACAGCAAACCTGGATTCCCTAATCTGTTTTTCTTCTGGGAGCAACCTTAAGATTCCAAGATATACTGTTTTTCAAAGTGTTCTGACATCCCTTATTTAATCTCACATAGATAGGTTTTCAGAACTAGATAGGACCTTTGTTATCCCAAATGGGCCAGATCCAGCCTACTGCCTGTTTCTGTATAGCCTGTGAGCTAAGAATGTTTCCCCGCCCCCATATTTTTAAATCAAGTTTTGTTGTATTTAAAAGTATAAAAACAAAAAACATTCTTAGCTTTTGCTCCTGGGGTTCTAGTTTGCCAAACCACCCCCCTCATTTTATAGAAGAGCAAACTGAGACCCAGAAAGATAAGGTCACTTTGTTCCCAGCAACAAGCCTTTGGGGTCTGGTATTGTTATTCCCATTTTGGGACCTTAGGTAACTCCTCCTCAGACAACTAGACCCAGGGAGGGGAAATGACTTGGTCAAAGTCACACAGCAGAAGGGTGGCAAAACTGAGTCTAGACTAGACGTTTCCTAATTCCCAGTCCAGTGTCCTTTCCTCTGTACCAGTTATCTTATGGGACAATAGAAAGGACATTGCATTGGGAATTATGAAGCCTGGGTTCTAATCCTAACTCTATTATATACAGACTTGATGTGTGATTTCAAGTAACTTTCTCTTCCTGGACCTGGATTTTTCCCTATTTGTGAAATAAGCCAAGGGTAAAATTTTTGCCTTACTTTCCTCGTAATAAATTAGTTTCTAAGCACCTACTATAATAATAACAGCAGTTAGTGACACCTTCCCCCTGAAATTACTTTGTATAATATTTTGTACTTCATTATCCATGTGCATTCTCTTTTCCTCTAATAGAATATAAACACCTTGAAGGCAAGGACTATTCAATTTGGGTCTCTTAGTATCCCCCAGCACCTACCACAGTACCTGACACATAGTAGGCACACACTAAGTACTTATTGAATGAATGAATGACCAGTAAAGGGGGCATTTGTAGAGCTATTGGAAAGCCTTGTGAGGTACTTTATCCACAACATACCCACAAACCATGGATGTTACCCTGGCTCTGTCTTGGGCTCTCTTGTCTTCCCCTTTGCATTATCCCACTTGGTGATCTCATCAGCTCCCATGACTTTTTATCATCTCCATGCATATAATTCCCAGATTACATGTCTAACTTTAACTTCTTTCTGAGGCTAAACTTCCTTCTGGGCATCTTAAATTGGATGTCCCTTAACCATCTCACATTCAGCATGTCCAAAACAAAAATCATTATCCTTCCTTCCCAAGCCCTCCCCTCTTGCAGACTTCCACATGACTGTCCAGAGCACCGCCATCGTCCTACTCACTCAAGCTCACGTCCTTGGTGGCATTCTTAATTCCTCTCTCACACTCACCTCACATATCCAATCTTTCCAAAGTCTTGCCATTCCTACCTTCACCTCATCTTTCATATGTGACCATTTCTCTCTACATACACAGCCACAACCTTAGTTCTGGCCCTCAGCACCTCTTACGTGGACTGTATCAATCACCTTCTAACTGGTCTCCGTGCCTCAAGTCTATTCACACTCCAATCCATTCTCCAAGAAGCTGCTAAGATGATTTTTCTAAATCTTAAGTGACAGTGTCAGTTCTCTGGCTCAATGAGCTCCAGAGGCTCCCTGCTATCTCCACAATCAAATAGAAAGCCCTCTGTTTGGCATTTAAAGCTCTTCATAACCTGACCTCTTCCTGCCTTCCTAGTGGTGTTTGCATTTGACTCTCGTCCATAAACTCTATCATGGTACCATATACTAGCCTACTTGCAGTTTTTTGAATAGAGCATTCCCACAGCCCAATGCTGTGCTTTGTACTGGGTATCCTGCCTTCCCCCTCCTGGAATGCTCTCTCTCCTTACCACCACTTCTCAGCTGGCTTCCCTTTCTGAGTCTTCTTAGCTACTAGAGTCTTCTTCTTTATGGTAGCCTTTCATCTATGCCATATATGTGTATCTTGTATGAACTTATTCATTTTCATGTTGTCTCTTCTATTAGAAAGTAAACTGCATGAAGAAGGGTCTGGGTTTTTTGTTGTTGTTTTGTTTTGTTTTTTATTTGTCTCTCCAGTGCTTAACATCATGCCTGGCCCATGGTAAGGACTTAATGCTGAAGTAGAAGAAATTTCTAGGGGTTGGAGAACTCAGGGAAGGCTTCGTAGAATCCAGCAAATTCTTCTCTCTCCTGATCCTCCTTGACCTTTCTTTAGTATTGAACACACCTCTTCCCAAGTACTCTCTCCTTCCTTGGCTTCTGTAACACTGCACTTCTGATTCTCCTCCTAGCTGACTTCTCCTTCCCATCTCCCTTTCTGATTCTTTAGCCTTTAGCCCCCCAAAGTATGGGTATCCCATGACACTCTGTCCCATAGCTCCAGCTGCCTGTTAAACATCTCCATCTAGGAGGGATGCTAGCACCTCTAACTCAACATTTCTGAGACAAAGGTCATCATTTTCTCACCTACATTTTCCCCTCCTCTCAACTTCTCTAATTGTTTTGAGGATGAATCCCATCTCCTCAGTGACCCAGGTTAGAAACCATAAAGTCCTCTATGACCTTTTCCTCCCCCTCACCTCCCACATGCACTCACTTGCCAAGCACCTTGATTGTACCATTATTACATTTCTCAGATCCACCTCTTCCCCACTTCCTCACTACTGCCATAGTTCAGACCCTTATCACATTTTGCCTGTAAAATTTTAATAGCCTTCTAACTAGCTTCTTTGACTCTGGTCTCCAATCCATCCTTCACACTGCTGTGAAAATAATCATTTAAGATGAAGTTCCCTATATTTGGTATGCTATTTCTCTCCTGTGCATTCATGCAAGCTCTCCCACATGCCTGAAATGCACTCTCTCCTCATCACCAACTGTCTAAATCCTTTTACTTCCAGGCAGACAGGCTTTCCTACCCTCCTCCAGCTGCTAGTGTTTTCCACCTCTGAAATGACCTTCCATCTATTTTGTGTATATCTTGTATGTACCTACTTGTGTGTGTGTGTGTGTGTATGTACAATTCTAATGTAATGTGACATAATTCCGTCAGAATTCAGACTGTTTGAGGGTAGGAACTGCTTTTGCCTTTCATAATAAATGCTTGCTGACTGACTGGCTGACTCTTCTAGGAAGCCTTCCCCAATATCTCCCCTTCCTTTCAGCTAAAAGCCTTCTCTCTTTCCTTGGAGCACTTTGGTCCTATGATTTCTCCTTTGTCCCCATCGTTCATTCCCGTGTCCCTATCTGTGCACATAATAATTTCCCTTTAGTAGAAGACCTTTCACAATGAGGACAGTGTCATTTTGGTCTTTTTATCCCCAGCAAAAGGCACAGTACCTCATACACAGTAATCACTTAATATACGTTGAAAAAGAAATGGAAGAGATGGAACTTGAGCTAAGTCTTGGAGGTATTTGTGATCTTGAAATGAAATGAGGCATGAAAAAGGCTTGGAATGTGGATTCCACATCCAGATGTGAAAGGAAAATACCAGATAATCTATCCTTGTCCCCAATATCCTCATAGCTCACCAGCCTACTCCTCCTTCTCTGTTCTCTTAGGTCATTGATAAAAACTCAGGTGGCTGGTGGTATGTGCAAATTGGAGAGAAGGAAGGCTGGGCCCCCGCATCATACATTGACAAGAGAAAAAAGCCGAATCTCAACCGGCGTACCAGTACTCTGACCCGGCCCAAGGTTCCTCCCCCTGCCCCTCCCAGCAAACCCAAGGAGGCTGAGGAGGGATCATCCACTACCATAGAAGGTCAGGACTCCCCACTGAAGCCGAAATACGAGGAGCCAGAGTATGATATTCCCGCCTTTGGCTTTGACTCTGAGCCAGAGCTGGGAGAGGCTCCTGGAGAAGATAGCTCTGGGGAGAAACGTTCCTACCAACCCCGGCGATCTTCTCCAGCATCTTCCCTGCAGAGGGCCAAGTTTAAGGTGGGAGAATCATCTGAGGATGTGGCCCTGGAGGAGGAGACCATCTATGAGAACGAGGGATTCCAACCATATGTGGAGGAGGCCAAGGAATCCAGTGGTGAGAATGACTCCCCTAGGGGTTCCATGCTTTCACTCAACAGGAGAAGCTCACCCAAATCCAATTCCCCCAAATCATCCTTTATAAAATTTAAGGCAGAAAAAAATACTCAGCCAGAGCTGGGGAAAAACCACTCCACTGCCTCTTTCTCTTCTTCAGTGACCATCAATACTACCTGCTCCTCCTCTTCGTCTTCTTCCTCTTCCTCCTTATCCAAGAATGGAGACATGAAACCCAGGTCAGCCTCAGACGCTGGGTTACGGAACCCTCCCAAGGGTAGTGTGAAAGAGATTGCTGATCTGAAAGCCGGACAGACCTTGTGCTCCAGAGCTAAGCCATCAGTCCGACCCAAACCCTTCCTAAGTAAAGGGGATTCCCAGAGCCAAGAGAAAATGGACATCAGCAGCCTCCGGCGTCAACTGAGGCCCACAGGACAGCTCCGTGGTGGTCTCAAGGGTTCAAAGAGTGAAGACTCTGAAACACTTCCACAGACAGCATCCCAGGGACCTGAAGAGGGGTCTAGGAGAGGTTCAGCTGACTTCATCACTCCTCCTACCCATGCTCACCTTTCCCCCAACAACTGGACCAAGAAAGATCAAGAAAAGGAGGTTCAGGGCCCCTCCTATATAACTTCCGATGCCTACCAGAAGGTCCAAGACTCAGAGATCAGCTTCCCTGCTGGTGTGGAGGTGGAAGTCTTAGAAAAGCAGGAGAGTGGTTGGTGGTATGTAAGGTTTGGAGAACTAGAGGGCTGGGCCCCTTCCCACTATCTAGTCCTTGGAGAAAATGAACAGTTGGAATCTTCCACAAAGGATTTGGATTTTACTTCTACTAAGAGTAAGAGGAATGAAGGTAAATCAGATAGCCTGGAAAAGATTGAGAAGAGGGTTCAGGCGCTGAACACTGTTAACCAAAGTAAGAGAGTCACACCACCCATCCCATCCAAGCCACCTGGAGGCTTCTCCAAGACCTCCGGACTAAGCAATGGGCCAGTCAAGATGAGGAATGGTGTGAGGCAGGTAACCGTAAGACCGCAATCAGTGTTCGTGTCCCCACCCCCCAAGGAGAACAACCTCTCCTGTGCCCTACGGAGGAATGAGTCCCTCACTGCCACAGATGGCCTCCGCTCTGTCCGACGGAATTCGTCTTTCAGCGCTGCTCGTACAGCAGCTGGGGATACCAAGGGTAGGTTGGTAGAGAGGGCAGGAAGTGAGGGCTCTGACTCATCGCTGCTGTCCACCCAACGAAATGGGATCCCTGTGTCCACTGTCCGGCCAAAACCGATTGAGAAGTCTCAGTTCATACACAATAACCTCAAAGATGTGTATGTCTCCATCGCAGACTATGAGGGGGATGAAGAGACTGCAGGATTCCAGGAGGGGGGTGTCCATGGAGGTGCTGGAAAGGAATCCAAATGGGTGGTGGTACTGTCAGATCCTAGACAGTATGAAGCCCTTCAAAGGATGGGTGCCTTCCAACTATCTAGAAAAAAAGAACTAGCCATATTCAGGGAACTTCTCTGGGCTGTAATTTTGCTTGCTTCAACTGTCTCCTGGTAAGAGAACCAAGATGAAACCAAAAAACAAAAAAAAAAAAAGGAAGAAATAATTTTAAAACGGGGAAACAAAACTAAGAGTGATGGGTGACCAGAAAGCTGTTCTTCAAATTTGTGCACCATGGCTAAATGGAAGAGTATTTGCAGACCCAAATGGAGGGTAAATGGTTCATAATACTTAGAAAGGAGGTGAGGAAGAGAGTGGGAAAATCAGGGGTAGAGGTAAAGGTGATTGATATCCAAAGGCCAATTTGTATTGGGGTGGGGAAAGGAGAAAAGAAAAGAAAAATTTGGACTTGTATGATGTCACTGATGGGCTATGTGTGATTGGAGCCCCCTTGGTGGAAGCAAGGCTTTGAAGAAAAACATGACTGGCCTTTGGTCAATAACTTTGATAGGGTGGAGGGGAACTCCATGCTGGCCTCTCCCAGCATGACACCCAGTCCTCCCTCATACTCTGGCTGTAGCTACCACCTGATTATGGAACACCACTGGCATCTCACTACCAAAAGCACTCCTGGTAAAAGGTGATTTTATTTTGGGGGTATGGATTATATCTCTTCATCTCTCACAAAAGAGCTTTCAAGGATGAATTTAACCTTCCAGGCAGCTTTGTTTAAGGGAAAGGGAAAAAAAAAAAGATTATAGGCCAGGGCAGGGTAGAGTCCAGAGGCTTTGAAGATTGGAGAAATTTTGCATCTAAGCCCAGTACAGAACAGAAACTCCCAGTATCTGTCTGTTGTCCTTGGCCAACTCTGGAGTTGGGGTTTCTAGACTTCTTGCTTCCTTTGGCAAACCCAAGGAAGAGGTTTACAGTGTATTCTGTTTAAGGGAAAGTGTTCCTTTGGGTCCTGCATAGTGGTGCTAGGCCCTCTCTTTTTGCAATCATTGCCTCTTCTCCCCAGCCCTCATCCTACCAGGTGGTGGGCTTTCTGCTGATGAAGGCCAGATCATTGCAGCATTAGTGTTTACAAAGAAAGAAAAGGCTAAACTATCAGTTTGAAATCTGCATAAACATCATTTGTATTTTAGTAGTGGTACAGGGTACTCTGTGTATGTGTGGTCATGTGCACATCTCTGGTCACTGTTTTGCTTTGTGTTTAGGGCTTTGATTTTTATTATATTTGATGGATTTGTTTTGGGGGGGTGGGATAGGAAAGGGGGGTGGGTCATTGTTTTTCTGAAAAGGGATTGGGGTGAATAGGGTTGGGGGTTTTGTCCTTTTTTTTCTCCCCTGACAAGCCAAAATATTTCCCTTTTGGTTTCCACTTGAGTCTGAAATGTGTGGACAACAAGACAGCCCAGGTTTTGTTGGGAAATATTGGGACTGAAAGAATCCACAGCTCTGGAGTGACGCTAACCAGGAAAGCTGCCCATCTCTTCACCTATGTTCCCAATGCCACACAAGAGGGAGGGGAGAATTGGAGCTGATTAAAGAAGCCAGAGTCTGAAATCAAGAGGAGGTGGCTGCACCTCGGCTAGACCCCCCCATGGATTCTTGGATCAAAAATGGGGCCAGGAGCAACTTCCTGCTTTGTCAAAAACGCTTTCATTTTGAGCTGTATAAAGCAAAGGCGATTCCTCCTCCCCTCTGTCGCTAAATATTAGGGGTCAGTGATTTGAATCGCATTCACAAACTAAGGGCTGTGGTTTATGTGTGTGTTCCTGGATGGATGAGAAGGATTGGCACTGGACCTTCAGCCCTTCCAGCCCACCCTGGAGGGTGTGTCTGTTGCCTCAAACACTCTCCAAGCCTTTGATAATGTTGGTGCTTTCAGAAGCTGGAGAATTAACTTCTTGGGAGCTGAACTTCTCTATCCACACAGTTTGCAGCTGGATGTGGGAGAGGCAGAGAGTGGGAGAGGAAACACAAGAACCGAATCCATGTTGGTCGTGAGTTGACTTTGGGGTACATTTTAAATTCGATGGGATGGCTCAGAGGAAAGGGGCCCAGTGACTACAACTGGTTCCCTGTGCAGAGGAGTGACCTTTGCAGATTTCCACATGTGCCTTCGACTTCCAATGACTCAGACTCCATGCTGCCGAGGAGAGCTTGGGGGAGAGTTGGTGTTTTTCACAAAGAAGGAAAGGCCCTCCTGCCACTTCCCTATTCCCTACCTTATCTCCTCACCCACATCCTCTTCCTCTCTTCCCCAAATAACTTTTACACACAATATGTTATGTCCCAGGAGCCTAAATGAGAACACACCAGTCATCTCTGTGCTTCTGGAAACCAAAGGGCCCTCTTCCCACCCTCTCCTCCAGCACTGCCTGGGGAGCCGCGCATGTGCGGCCCTTACTCTTCCATACACTGACGTGTGGCAGCTATTGAGAACTGCCCAAATTTCGTCAAAGGGCCGTTGTGAGATTTCTTTGTTTTTGTGAGGTTTTTTGTTTTTAATTAGAAATGCTATATTCTTCTGCTGGACAGTGTTAAATAGAGCAATACATAGAGTTATCTGCTAGATTGCAGTACTAATGGTAGCGGGTTAGTTACTGGTGGTGTTATGATTTATTTGAACAATAATGATGAAGAAGTGGTTCATTATTTTTTAATTAATGCACTTTAAGAGTGGAAAGGAAAGAAAAGAAACGTGCAGAGAGCTGAGTGCATTACTTAAAGGTGCAGTATATGCTTTCCTCATTTTTAAACAGCACATATTTATTAAAAGAAAAAAGTAATTTATGATTATTTAAAATAAAATTTTAAAATTATAATGACCGTTGGGTTAAAGAAGTTTCTACACAGCTGCCCCTCCCTTGCCCCTCAATGCCAGGGCATACCCCACTTCCCCCATTTCTGCACTGAGCCAATACAATCTTGAGGGCGTTAAATCAGGTCAGGTCCTTTCCAGAAAAGTATGGCATATCTCTGACCAAATGAAAGCATCTCAGATGGGCTGGACTAGAATTTCCGCCAGGAATGTCCAAGTCCTCCCTGCCCTCACTTGTGTGCTTTGGGACCATCCTCAGCTCTGTCTCTGTTCTGGTCTCTATTTCCCACTGGCACTTGTCTTGACAATGACTGAGTGCCTCGACTGTCACCCTCTACCCATCCCTTCCCAGTCCGGAGACTCTTAAGTCATGAATCCCAGAGCTGGAAGGGACTTTAGCAATGATCAGGGCCAACTCCCTTTTTTTATACATGTGGAAACTGAATCCCAAAGAAGGGATGTGACTTGCCCCAGGGTCATATGAGGAGCTAGGACTGACACCCAGGGTTGATGACTCCCAATCCAATACTCTTTCTGCTTGACCATAAATGAGTTTGCCAGGGTCCCACCTTGCTTATGTTCAACTTGAACACACCAGGGCAGATTGGAAGTTGATGACACTTGATGACAACCTACAAGTCTAGAGAGTGAACAGAAATTGCCATGTCCTCCTTGTTCTCCCCTTTCTACCACTGCCCTTATTTCCCTTGTCCGTAGGACCAACCAAGATACCGCCTAGTCCCTAGAGAGGAGCCAAAATGAAGGAAGGAGCTGGAGGTTTCATTACTTGAAATTGAAGACAGGTAGGTATGAGGATCCCAGTCCTCCTTGGGCATGCCCATACCAGTTCTGCCAGGTCAGCCAGACTCAGCCTGAGTCCCTTCACACCCAGGCCCCAGGGCAATTATTAAGCAACCTGTTCTGAGAGAGCAGAGGGCACCTTCTCGTGGCAGAAGAAAGTGATAGTCCCTCACTGTCAAATTCTCCCACTTCCCTTCCCCCAACTAAAAAAAAAAGTTTTTTAATCATATCGTAATCCAACCCTAGTTTTCCATTCGATCAATTGAAAATGTGAAAGGCTGTTGTATTGCTGTATACTGCAACTTTAATAATGATGAGCACTTCTGAGGTCGTTATTGATGTCTATATAATGCCTGAAAAGCTTCACTTGACCGTTTGTTTTTCTTTCATTTTAAGGTTCTTTTCTTTTTTTTTTTCTTTAAGAGAAGAAACAAAAGTAACTTCCTCTCTGATTCTCATACTTTGTCCAGCTTCAGGGGAAAGGTTCTCCAGGTCTCTGAGATCCTCTGCTCCAGTGAAGGCTTGTTCTTATGAACTGGCCCTTTGAATTTTAAAATGGACACACCCTCACACTCCCAAGCACCCCTAGCAGGGAATGACGTTCCTCCTGGGGAGTGACTGTAGGGAATACTTTCAGCCAAGGCCCTTCCATGTTCAGGCTTCTCCGTTTCAGCCAGCCATAGAGCATGAAGGGTGATAACCCAAATATGGCCCCAAAGAATTTCCTCCTGTCCTAACTTTCAGTCCTGACGAAGGCATTATATAATTGTTTAATCACTTTCAGACTTCTGTGCTGCATATTTTACTGTAATCTGTATCCATTTGCTTTCCTCTGCAAAACATGTTACTGCTTATATCACCTAAGGAGAAACACAAGGGAATTTGGGTAAAGCCTTCATTATTTTCATATTACTAGTATTTGCAAAGTAGACATAGTGCTATTTAAATTTAGATTTTGGTTGGTAGCTTTTTTTAAGATAAAATTATTCTTACTTTCCTGTGTTTATATTTTACTAATATTTTATTCCTCATAGGTTACTCTTCCTACCCCTTTCCCTCTTCCCCCATACTTTGCATTCTCAATTGAAAAGAAAAAATAATCTGAGGAGAGAGAGGGTAAGTGCAATATTGAGGTGAGAAACACCAGGCCTTGTCTGGGACCTTGGGGGTAGCATGTGCTGCCATTTGAGAGCAGACAGAGCTGAAAAGAACCAGGCTTAAGGCCCCAAATGGCTGGTTTTGGATACTCTTTTCATCCTCCCCCCACCCACCATCCCACATCCCAGTAAAGAAAAAAGGAAGGTGTCCACCATTTTGAAATAAAGTACAGGCCAAAATAGCTGCAAAGTCAATGAATTGAGAATGGATAGAATAGTGCTAGGATGCCCCCAAGATGCTAGCTCCAGGAACAGAGGCCCTTTGAAGCATGGAAGGCAGAGATAGCTAGATAGGCAGCTTATGGGGTATTATTTTGGTCACTTTGGCCTAACTAATCAGGAAGACTATTTGCTTTAAGTAAACAGTGTGTCCTGAAAGGTTAGCTAGAATATCACCTTCCATCCAGCCCTCTCTCAGACCCCAAGAGCTTGTAATACCTAGGCCACCAGCAGTAGTATAAAAGGGACTTCTCTTTCCCCCCCACCCCACTCCCCATTTTCCTTTTTTAAACTAAGTAACCTCAGTTCAGCTCATGGGCAGGAACCGTAAGAGCAACAAAGTCCTCTCCTTGGTACTTTTGATAAGCCTGAGTGCCATTCTAAGGAGGCTGTGAGGCCAAAATGAGACACTGATTGATGCTGACCAGAGCACCCACAGCGTGACCTAGCGCTGGCTCACCCTGCATTTGTTCATCTCAGCTGGAATCCTGCTGCTTGGCCCTGGAGTTCTTCTGGTGTATAGGGCGTTTCTGAGAGACTTTGGAAACCTTCCCTGGACCAGTCTAGGTCTTCCTGGAATTCTAGTCTATGGAGAGGAGGCTGCAGCTCCTCCTCAGGTGTTCTGTGTGTGGATAACTTGTATTCAACAGGTACAAACCAGACCACTGCAGCTAAGATTCCTCCTTTTAATTACAGGGCAGTGCTGGGGTGAGCAAGATTGACAGGGTGAAGGTTCTTCTGAGGTTCCATGGATTGGTTCTTTGTGATCTGGGATCACAGTGGCCTTTTTGAGTTGCTGGTCAATCCCATTCTTATTCAGTACTGTACTGTTACTCCAACTCCTCAGTCTTCTCTGTTTCGTGATACACACACATACACCTACACACACACATATATATGCATACATATATACATGTGTATAAAAATATATTTGTGTATATATTACATGTGTGTATATATATAAAATCTTTGTTAAACTCAATACAGGGATCTTTGGAGAGGGAGTTGTCCACAATACTAAAGAATTACATTCCCTCATTTTTTGGAGGGTCATGTGTACATGTGTATGTATGTGTGTG